AAATAAAGTAAAATAATTAACTCATATTACCCAGAAARCTGAAGTATATGTTTTACTTGATTTACTTTAAATTAATTAACAAATGGTTTTTAAATTCTAAAAAAAATCAGATATAGTATTTTTATAATGAGTGCGTTTTAAAAAAATATACATATAGAATTCGTGGATGTCATTTACGGGCATACAAAAATATTTTGTTTAGATTTTGAATATTAATTACCAACGAATGGGAGAGACAAGCTGTCAAGAACATAGTTGATACAACCAAGTGATGGGTGTTTTTTAAAGCCATTTTTACCTGAAATACATTTAACATATTCCAYAATTGGCCAGGTAATCCAGACGTTTGATGTCGCAATAGGTGAATTTTATTTAAAAAATTCATTTTTTCTCAATACCTATATTGTTATCGTATCCGTCATCTACCGAGGAAAAACTGACAAAAGTGAAAAAAATATATGAAGTACCAACTTTATAATAATTAAATTGTAAATTATGTTAAGTGTGGCTTGGAAATTATCTCTACTCTCAAAATATTGAGTTATTTATTAATGTAATAGGAGTGTTATATTAATAATATACGTACATATACGCGTATGGCGGTTGTGACTGGTTTATGTGGTTTTATATTTTATCTAGCTGTCCTGTTTTTAATACATTAACTCAATTTTTTTTATTTCAATTTTATTATTCTTTGGTGTTTTATTTTCAATAGGTAGATGACATGATATGTTATATAGTAAATAAGTGGTGTCTAGTTGTTGGATTTAGTAATCGTCACTAATTAGAACCTTGTATAGATGTATATTTTTTGGACATTATATTGGTTTAGCTACCTAATCTATAAATTTTATTTTAGTATAAACATTATTATTGATTGATATTTATATAGATACTAATGCTACTTTTTTGTCGACTGATAAAATATTGGCATGTATCAACAGTTCTACAACTTCTACATACTGGTATACTATTGATTATATTGATMTTTTAAAATCAAATCCACTTCAAATTGATGATTGTACGTTTCACTTTAATAATAATAAATAATATAATATATACGATATGTCCCGTGAGAATTTACCTATTGCGATATCTCCCGAAATAATGGATATTCTTATGGATTTCAGTACGAAATACTTCAATGGAGAAACTGGAAATTCTATTTAATTAAGAAGGGTGTAAAAAATCACATTTTTGTCATATTTAGTGTTAATAACTGAACTACTGAAAAAAAAAAAAACGCTAACCACTAAATCTAAAACAAACTACACATTAAATACACATTAAACTACATTTTAAATTATTAATTTATTATCTATTATATTAACAAAAATAAATTAGTAACAATAATAATACTTCGATCGATATTCATTGAACGAGGCACTTAAACCACTGATTGATGCACTAGACCACTTTTAGGCGATGGTGTACCTACTTACAATGTTTTCTAGCGGAATGATGTTTAATACATTATAGTGCACCCCAAATCTAGGTTTATGCATAAAACATGAAATTTTCAACATGGCTATTCGAAGTTTTGCGCATTGGATTATCGCATAAACACGTGGAAATAGAGCCATTTATTCAGCTAGCACAAACGAACGTGTTAAGCATTGCAACCAACCGTACACCAAAATCACTTTTTGTGTAATTTTCTCCTTATAAGAATAAATTTCTTCGAATACATTAGTATCTTATTAAAACCATGTAAGGCATTGAAAACAAATTTGCATGAACCATCATGTGCGTTTAGCAGCAACATTCAGCTGAGTAAGACAAACATTTTTTTGATCATCTTAGTTATGGATCTTTATATATATATATAATATAAAAACCTCAAACATTATATGTATTTAATTATATTTTTAGATGGTAAAAAAATTAATCCACAAAAAAATAACGATTTGTACGCATGATCGTAAAATGTATAGATTGTTATAAGAATAAACGTTTGCATTAAAAATAATCGAATGCATTGTATGAATTAAATTTGTGTTTAATATAAATTTAAATATTAAAGAAAGCAAATTATAGTAATTATTAACGTTTTATACCTATTTATACCATACATTGTATAGGATAATGGTACACAATTGGCTTAAATTGTTTAAACGGACTGACAACACATCTTACATTTTTTTATCTTCGTATTACTGTTATAAAAATACGAAGATTTATCATCAATTTATTATTATTATTATTTTTTTTTACCTTATTTATAACTATTTTAATTTTCCGGACTCAAATAGAAATTATTTCTGATCAGTGGTACAGAGTTTAGTAGATAGTGCACCGATAAACGAACACACCAAACACTAATAATAATTATTGAATCTTCAAATAATTGTGTCATAGTCATGTTTGGTAATATAAGTAATTTATTATGTTTTCTGTAATCATTGAATAATTCTGWGCTGCAACAATAATGAAAATATTTTAAATTAAAAACGAATAAACGTTAAACTAAGATTTTGAAAACAAGTTTTAACTATATGAACATAGTTTGTTCACAAAGTTTTTTTTGTGAAGGTTATAGTCACACCAAACTTAAGAAGCAATCAATCTAAATTGAAAATTCCACTGTTTCGTGTTCTGAATCCATAATAATGGACAACTTACAACATATAATATTATCAACATTTAGAGGTTATTTCCGCGATAATACTTTTTTTAACCCTACCCTCTATACATAATTCTAAGTTATTTTACTGAATAATAAGATTTTTAATCAATATTTTGTTTTGGCATTTAAAAATACCATTTTTCCTGTTCATGGTTCTTAGTAATTAGTAACTACTAATTACATACTATTTAATATTATGTTATTATACTCAAATCAATGAATAATAATAAATATCTACTTGGTGACTAACGGTACCATTTATTAATYATTTTTACGGAAGGATGGCAATTTGGTTTCAGAACATTTGAATGATCTACCTAAAAAATCAAAGTGCATTATTAAACACTTAATTTTTATAATACTTGAAATTGTTTTTTTTTTTTTTATAGTTATAATAAGTAATTTATAGACAAATCTGAAAGAAAATGAAATCTGTATAGTAAATTCTATATATTTTTGAAATTATGTACGTATTAAGCCATAAGGAATAATCAACATACCGTTTTGGAGAATTTGAATAAAGTATTTTTTGAATTAGTTAAAAATAGGTATGCTCAAAATAACTATCAAGACATCTTGACTAAAATGAATGATGAGGTACTTATCCGCGTTTGGCCAGTTATACATGCATGTGTGATAATGATTACCATAGACATTGTTCATGAAGCAAGTCACCTCGATCAACGGTAGCACTTCTTATAGTCCAGAGGTCCAGACAGTCCAGTTATAACTATTATTGATGTTGTCAACAATATTGATTTGTGTAATTTTCATTCTGTCAGTAACAAATATCATCAGTCGTTTTCTTTTGGTCTGTCATGTTACCACCGTAAAAGATACAATTAGTAGCGTGCAGCGTGCTTTTGGATTGCCGATATCATTACACGTCAATTCACCTACAGCTGAGCCGCCAGAGGAAACTTAAAAAAAAAAATGCTGTACCCTTTCAGATTTACATACTACTGATTGAACACATCTAATGCTGAATGACCAAAAATAACATTTATTTTAAACATTGTACTATATGTACAATGAAAAACTGAATGTTGTATCGTCAGAGAATAAAATAATCAAATTTGAAAAACCTATTTATATTGGTAAACATACTTTAAATGTTATATCACATAATTTTTAACACGTTCGTATCACGGCGGATAAATGAAATCAGTGGGTATTTTAAAAATCTAAATAAAATAAAACTTACCTGTATTAGCGTCTTGTATTTCATCATCCCGTTCGAATATTTCTATGACTGTTATWCACATTTCGTCATCGAATAGAAAAATGTCAGTTAAACCTTTGGTCGGGAGATCGGAGACGAAAAAATACGGTACTAGTACGTCATGTACGGGTTGAGCAATCGATTCAGCGGGTTGAATATGAGCCGGAACGTTAACGAAACCTAGGAAAAAATTAGATATTARTTATTAATATTGAATAGATAGTAAAAAAATAAATACAGTGAAAACTCTCTATAACGAATCTGAAGGTACCATGTGATTTCTTTCGTTATTGAGAGTTTTTGTAATAGAGAGTAATTAATAGGTTTTAAATCAAACCAACCATTATAAGTTAACTTAATGTTATTTACGTAATATAGAGTTTTTCGTTATAAAGAGTTTTCACTGTACAAACCATGAGCATTGAACACATACATTAACTTTACTATTGGATTAAAAATAAAAATAAATTCATACCATGATCATTTTTCATATGTTTATTAAGACTAGTTTTGTAGCAGAATGTCCTTGCACATACTGCAGTGCACACAAAATGTACACCTGCATGCTTCTTTTAGTGGGCGACCAAATTACATTTAGTACCGAATATTGTACGCATTAAAACATTATGTAAATGTTGAAGGTAGAAAAGAATAATATGYATAAGCATTGAGAAAAAATTAAATAGATAAATAAAAGCACGAAGACTTTAAAAACACGGAGTGAGCGAAAGCACTTTGCCTCGAACTCTTTGTTCGTAAAGGTGGCTGGTATCTAGAACAGAATGACTCTGTCCGGTGGATGAAGAACGACATAACGACCTATAACGGAAAATTTGGTGTTTGTAAGCCAGGGCTTGTTAAAATATTTATTGGGTATTTACTATAGGGTATATCACCAGATACTTTGGAAGCCATTGAATAAATTGTACCACATTTTAAGGAATTGACAAACGTGTGTTAACAGCAAAACTGCCGCTGTAGGCCACTCCGCTAGCAATAAAAAATGCTTACCGTCAACCGGGGTGTTACATACGTATTGGAAACAATAGATATTTTGATCGATGTATATAAAATTTTAAATTAGTAAAGAGAGAGTAGTGGTTCGACTCAAGTCGGTGTCGGTACAGTATAGTACAACGATGGAACAAATAGTTTAAACTAACGAATATTTATTAACAATTTCTTAAATTAATATAAGGAACATAGAAAATTATTAACATTTTCCAACTATTGGACTATTATAAAAGTTATTCATGCGTTCATGTTCTATATAATTTATTTGAAAATTTTTTACAGCTAAATCAAGATTATTTATTAAATTGAGGTTAACTTTTTTCTTCGTATTACATTTAAATTTAAATGTTTAATTATGATATGTTTATCTAGTTTCTTACACATTCATTTAAGTATTACAAAATGAATTGCTGTCAATAATTTTTACCTTTCCTCTAGTGAGACTTCTATAATAGGTACATTTTAGAATTCCGTGCCCTCTACCGTATTCTAATTGGTATATTTCTGTGTGAAGCATTCTTAGCCAATATTCAACACTGAAGCGGAGTAAAAAGCTATATTTAATATTAAAAAATTAAATTTTGTACTACTAAATTTTGAAGGGATGAAATCAACCCAACTGTTGTTGAGGTTTGTTAAATGGTGTTTTTTACAATAGAATTTTTTTTTAGTTTATACATAGTGATTTTAATTCACATTCTTCCCCACAAGAAGGGTTTTTAAGTTTTTCGGAAGTAATTTTCAAGTAAATATTTATTACTTCAGTGAATAAAAAGAAAAGGTTACTTATCAGAATTGAAGACAACAATTTAAAATAGGTACTTATTTGAATCGTTATCCATTATATTTATTTTTCCTTTATTTTACTGGATATTGTGTAGAGAGATTTTCGACGTTTAAAACACGACTAATTTCAAAATCAACTCGAAAACGATTATATATACGTTATATTATACGAAAACTTACACATAAATTATTGGTTTTTATAGTTCAAGTTCTAAAGAACCATTATAAATCAGAGGGATGCCGACAAATGTGCAATTACGTTTATAATAATAAAAACTACTAGTGTTTGGTTAGAATAAAAATTATATTATGAGTAAAAATTAAATTAAATTTTGAATTCTTTCCATTATAAATTATATTGTTTCACTAGAGAAATCATAACAACCCAATGTATTCGGCGACGACGTCTTTGAACTTCAGATTCAATATTTTCTATTCTCGAGAGGCTGTACATCATCTGCATGGATATATAATGTGTGTGTAGTCGTAACTGATAAAAAAATATCTCGAAGTGTCAACTGTAACTACAATTATTATTTAACTTATATTAGTTTATCTTATGATTTTAATTATGATATTTTTTTTTCTAAAATAATGATAAAGCTTACTAAGGTGTCATCTAAAAGAATTTAATTATCCGTATTGTTGTCAAGCATCAATATAGCAAAAGCAATATCTTATTCAATATTAAGCTGTCTTGAAAGTGATGGAGTTCGCGGCCCCCAATCCAATATCCTCTCACGAGAAGTAAACACCGCCTCTAAATAATCTTCATATAGTATTCTCTCAGTGTTAGGTTATATACTGGAGAAATCATGTAGTTGTTGGGTGTTGCATTTAACTCCCTGTATTGAATATATATGTATATAAAAATAATAAAAAAAATATTTAGCAAATAAATGATTTAACTTATTCGTCCTGTACAACTTCGCCGTGTAGGGCAATGAGATTATGACAGTATATGTTATTACAGTATATATGCTTTCCTCAATAAATTCTCAATATACATTTTTTTTGCATTCGAGAATGGAATAGGAGAATAGTGCGACTAGTTTGTAAAGTGACACTCACGGTCACAGTATGTACACTGTACATACAAATGCATACAGCTCCAACGGGTTCGACGAGTACATACAATTTTTACTTTGTAAAGAGGAATTGTATTTAATGTTTATAAGAACATACAATGAGTTCGTCGACTATAAATGATTTTTAATTTGTATATAGGTATTATACCGTTATTTTTAAATTTTCCATTAGTTTTTTCGGCACACGTTGTCGACGGCGTCCCGCCGCATGCACACGAAAAATAATATATGTTGGTTGCGACAGAAATTCGGGTGCTTTAGCCTGTATACCATTAATATGATAAGAAAAAGTGATAATAAGATGTGATAACTCTGTGTCTGATGTTCCCTTCCACTGGTTAGGTTAGTGATTACACGCGTGATATGTGTTGGTCACATGATGAGTCGGGCTCGGTGGTGGGTTGAGAATCCGTGTTATATTGTTTGCATACGAGTTTTTAAAATATCAGCACTTTATAATTGCTTGAAATTTTTAGTTTGACCAATATAGTTTTAACTTTACTTTGCAGTTGTCGTGGTGGTGGCCTTTTTCGTCTGCTGGGCGCCATTTCAAGCGCAAAGGCTGGTTGCCATATACGGAGACGTGAATCATGAGGACTACTCAAGTACTTCGATAATCGATGCAAACGTMTATCAGGTGCTAAATTACGTATCTGGAATCTTATACTACTTGTCAGCCACCATAAACCCGCTTCTGTACAATCTTATGTCGTACAAATTTAGGACCGCTTTCAAAGTGAGTAGAGGTAAACCTACGGTATTTAATAAACTAATAAATAAATAATGTTCTATACTAGGTAAACAGTTTTTACTAAATATTTCTCGTTTCCTTAGTAGACTTAGTGGACCGAGTCCACTGTATAATTATAAATTTTGCTCAGTGTTTTTTAAATTTCAAACTGCGATCAACAATCTCCCCGACTTCGTACCGAAACGAATTAAATCAATTATCTTTGCTGACGATACACATATCTACGTCGAAAGAAATTCAATCTCTTTAATAACTAAAGTACTACAAAACTGCTTCAATAAGCTGTCAAAATTGTGTCATAATTTAGCTTTTATTTTTCTCCTTATAAAACCAAATATATAATTTTCTCCAACAAAAAGAATATAATCAAACCCAAAATCTATTTAAATACCATCTGTTGGCCTCTTTCTGAAAACATCGCTATTCTTGGTCTTACCTTCGACTCTAAATTAACATGGAAACCTCACATTTTGAAAATTAAAAGATCAGCCTACAAAAACCTAAGAGTAATTAAACGCTTAGCTATCTAGAATGGGATGTCGAGTACTCAATTTTATTAAATTTGTATAGATCACTAGTTAGATAAAAACTAGACTACGGCTCAATCTGCTATGGAAATTCGAATTGTAATATATCCAAAATTCTTGACCCGGTCCATAACACCAGTGTAAGATGTGAAATTGGAGCCTTCAGAAGTAGCCCTATCTCCAGCTTATTAGCCATCACTGGGGAACCTCCACTTCAATATCACAAAAATACTATTATCACTCCGCAAATATATAACCAGCATTTTATTGACTCCTGATAATTCACACAAATCTCAGAAAAACACTGAATACAAGACTTCGTAATGAAATGTCCAACAACAGCATCTCTCCTGACACAATCCTTGAATATGGAACAAGCCTTACCCCCRCCCCTAGAGCTTACATAACTAGAAATAAAATTGATACTAGTCTTAATGCCCTTATAAAAAAAGAAACACTCTAAATAGTCTATCAAAATGTATTTAATGAATTAATTCATACGGATAAACATAATAGTTCACAAATYTATACAGCTCCATCCAAAACCTCAACAGGTTTGGCAATTATACACAAGTTCTACTCAAGTATTCCATATTCTAATTACATAGTCATAGCAGCATTTATACGGCTGAATACATAGCACTTTTCAAAGGAGTCCAAACAGTTGTTGAAACAAATTATGACAGAGTCAACATTTGTTCCTACTTACTCAGTGTTCTACCAAATATAATACTCACATTAATTCCTTAGTCATAAAGATAAAAAATATAATATATTTATCCAATAAATACATACATTTTATATGGACTCCGGGTCATTGTGATATCATAGGAAACGAAGGAGCAAAAAAAGCAGCCCGAAATGCTATAAGTAACCCTAACTCCTTAACACTTTCTCTTAAGTCTCAAATTRATATAATCAGGCACGTGGACAAATGCTGCATGCAACTATGGGACTCAGATTGGCGTAAAGTTACCGAAAATAAACTAAGGGAAATAAAACACTCAGTCGAACCTTGGCCAAAACTCAACTATTCAAATCGAAAAGAAGAAGTTATTATGAACCGACATAGAATTGGTCACACGAGAGCTACTCAATACTCATGGCTWCCTCTACCTAATGGAAAAGACTTCCACTCTTGCAATTGTTTCATTACAGTCAAACACATCATAATCCTCTGCCAAATCTTCACGGAGGCCAGAAAACAATATGAAATGTAAGACAATATATGCGAAGCTATAGGACCCTATACTGACATATAAAATAATCACATTAAAAAAAAAAAAATTAAATGTATAACTTAATTTAACTTTATTTTTATTTTTTAGTTTTTAAACATCATTGTAAAAAACCTTTATATACATAACTATATAATATAATTGTAAGCTAATAATCTGAATGTAGATGCTGTAACAATAAAAAAAAACTATAGTTTTCAATTTTGTAAAATATAGACTATACCTACTTCCAAAGATTCTAATCAGTAAATACTGGACGATTGTAAATATTTGGTTATTTGTATGAACAGTATGTGCAATGATAATAATAATTATTATAATTGTCATTACTTTTATTATGATTATTATTATTATATACCTACGCTTATCGTAGGTATATCATACTAATATATTTCAACTGTATAATTTTGTATTGTCCAAATATACKTSTGCACCACAACCATAAATTTAAATGAAGGTATAAATTAATTCTAATAAAAACAATAAACATATATAAATTATTGGAAAATATTGTAAACTACAGTCCACTGCATCAAAGTAATTTTTTTCTTTAAACACTTGCAAAAACTCAACAGATTCTATCAACATTTTATTTGTTTCTTGTGGTCCACTGCTCTTGGAAATAGAAACTTCTTTTCGATTAAGCTTGTTTAAAATGTACTCATATATTGGATATTAATAGATAACTTGAATACAAAGAAAATTCCGGAATTTCAAAGCACAGAAAAATCAAAACATTTTTAGTTGCATGTATCTATTTCTAAAATCGTAAGATTTGATGATCAGTGAGAAATACTGTATATTTAACTGAATGTGTTGGTATCACTACCATRCCATAGTCCATACAACGGCTAGAGAGAGGAGAGAGTGAGCTTGTGTTAGTGTGTGGAAGGAATGTGTTCGACCTTCCTGAACTGCGTTCCTTATTTTTATTTTTATTTTTTGTGTTTTATAACCTGAAATAAATACGGTTTTTAAAATTTAAATTACTGCGTAGAGTATATGTATTAAGTAATTATAGTCCCTGCTGACACATGATTGTAAAATACCAAAATAATCTTACAATCAATATTTTGCCCTTGGTACAAAACTTGGGGAGTAAAAATGAATGAAGCTAAATCTATCCACGGTACCTTCGCACTTCGCCACGGCATATGTCCAACACTATTCCTCAATAACCAACCGCTCCCTCCTGCCCAGTGTGTACAATACCTTGGCACCCTTATTGATCGCCACCTCAACTGGAAACCTCATATAAGTAGTAAAATCCGTACACTTAACGACCGCTTCCGTCTCTTTCGTCCACTTCTAACATCTAAGCATATGAAACTCTCTAATAAGCTCCTACTCAGGCCCATTCGCACTTATGGGATCCAACTATGGGGCGCTGCCAAAATCTCCAACATCAACCGCATCCAAAGATTCCAATCAAAATCTCTACGTACAATTCTTAATGCGCCATTCTTTGTCTCTAATCACACCCTCCACTCTCACCTCAAAATTCCGTATGTCTCTGAATTAGCGAAAACACATTATAAACGTTTCAATAGCCGCCTAGCCCACCATACAAATCTCTTAATCTCTGATCTATCATCTATTTCTATACCAGGTAACCCAACTAAGAGATTAAAAAGACAATGGTGTCACGACCTGCTAGCCAAGTGAATATATGTACAATAATAACCTAGCCTAAGAAAATCTTACGTAGTAGTACGTACTAATTTCGTAGTACCTCCACTGGGAGGCCTCTACAACCCGTCAAATCTGCCATTTTATATATTATTATTATTTTTTTTTTATCTTAGCTTCTATCATAAAATGATTCTTATTGTTATCCTTTGAAACAGATTGAATAAAACATAATAATAAACACAAAAAAAATAATATATTTTGTAGTTATAGGTATTAGGTGGTAGTACCTATACAAATRTTTAACTATCGAAATTATTGAAATAATTTTAGATTTATGAATTTGTATTTATAGATTAAAATTAGGCGATCCAATATTATGTAGGTAGATGTTGGTATAAATTCAATATCATTGTTATGAAAATTATTATTTTTATTAGTTGAGAATATAGGCTAAATAAACTATTAGTAMAGACCTTATAATATTGAAACACATGGTAAACGCGGAAATATTTAAAAACTGTAAACTTTTTAATACATGCGCCATCGATTAATGAATTTATAATTTTGTTTATTATAAATTTAACCAACCAAATAATATTTTATGTACATACAAATATGTTAATTAATTAATTTAAATAGTCGATTAAATTATTGTTTGATGTACAAATATTTGCCTATCTATCGACATCTTTTATTTAACGCACATTTTTTTATTAATTATTTGTCAGGAAACTTGGAGATCTTGCAAAGGGGCCAGTGGAATAAGTCCCGATCATGGCATGCCCGCCTTGGACTACAAATGGCAGAGACACCATAGCCATAGCAGAAGCTTCAGCAGTAGTCATTTTGACGAGGTAAAACAGTTGGGAATTAAAATGCTTATATCTATTCTCTTAACAGTTGGGTCAATTTTTTATCCTAAGAAATTTGTAATTTTTGCTTGAATTCTCTTTAAATTAGAATTGCCTCATCAAATTTATTCATCACACCTCATAATATAGTCTTCATCAGTTTCAATAGGCACCCTCATAAGTCATAATAATTTATAAGTCTCATTAGTCATTYCCATTATTGGATATTAACGTAACGRAATTACATTGCTTCTAATGCGTAACGTAATTTCATAAGAATTATTTACAAGTAACGGAAATATAATAAAAATTACTTCTGATAAGCAATTTCTAGCGTCACACGTTATAGTTAGGAGTAGTTAAGTTTTTTTTAATTATCTACTAAATAATAATTTACAGTAAAAAATGAGGGTTCTCATTTGAAAAAAAAAACAGAAGTTTGCCACTGGAGACTCCTTAAATAATACAAAAATTCTCATGAATTTGAAAATATGGTCTTTGAGTAGGTTAATTAAATATTTAAAAATTTGAATTAGAATAAATTCATTATTAAAGGAAAAAATGGGGCTGAGCATGCTTGTTGAATCACTCTATATATCGTTTGTACCTGAATGTACATCGAGTTAAATGTGTATTTATAACTTTTATTTTTGTACATCTTTTTAAAATCAAACCTTTTAAAATATTTTTAGTTAGATTGCTTATAGATAGAAAATAAATTACTTTTAAAATAAAAAAGGAATAGTTTTTTGATTTTGTAACGAGAAAGTAACATAGTTACTTTTCTATTTGAAAATTAATGTAATTTTATTTAAGATAAGAACAAAGTAACTTCATTACTTTTTAGAAGTAACTTATACAAAACTAGTTATTCCTTTTGGATAACTTAGCGTCTTTGCATGAACCTACTTCTATTTATAATCCTCATTTCGATCTACAAAATTAATATAATATTACAATAAAAAATAATTGTATCGCGTGCTTCAGGTTGTTCACATACAATATTTTTTACACTTTTTAAATATTTACAATAATCTGATTTTCATTAAATTTTTCAGATAGACACCAAATCATAATATTTTAATAGTTCCATCCTATTTAATATACATACCCGTATCATTTATAAACTACTTATATAAATAAATAACCTATTATACTACAATGCTCAAATACTCAATAAATATATTATAATTTATAATTGTAGGCATTGTTATGCATGTGACATAATATGATATCGTTGGTACTTATGAATTAAATCAATATTAGCAAGTTTAACAATAAGCACTACTATAAAGTTACCTGCCACCCCCCCCCCCTAAGTTTAAATTGGAAATAGTGTCACTGGATGCTCTCTTCCCTCAAGTTTTCACATCTTGTAACTATCATCACATTTACTTATTATATAAGTTAATGAAAATAAATAATAGTTAATAATAATAATAATAATAATAATAGTTATAATGATAGTTAATATAAACTTGTAAATAGATTGTAAATTTCTTTTATTATAAAAAAAGAAGACATATACAGGATGGTCTATCTCTATAGCATTTTTCCATGTTTCAACACTTTCAACTAGGTATAATACTTTACCTAATGAATAAACGGAAACATACGATGATTCACATTTTAAAGGTTATAATAGCTGATTTAAATAAATTATTATTAATCAATTAATTATAATTATTTTTTATAGTATTAAAATGATGACATATATTTTAATTTAACATTTCAAAGCGGAAATCGCAAATAATTTTCAAAGTACAACGAATACTATGTAAATTATTTTGTATTTTTAATTAATTTAAGTTTACATAAGTGAAAATGTGCTCCACGCATTTTACAGGCTAAACATTTTATTTTATTTTTATTACACATCTCATATTTTAATTTCAATGCCAATTTACAAAATATAAGTTCAATATTATAATATAATAATCTTGCTAAAAATGTAATGTTTATACTTATAAATATTATAATAAAACATCATATATTATATTATTTTGTTTTTAAAATGTAAAGATATTTAGTATTATTTTTGCCGTATATTATTAAAGCGTTTTCGTAAAGAGATTATTTTAATTTGCTTATGAAACTGTCTCCAGGTGAATTCGATGAAACAGTTGATGCCCAAGTCCTGGCAACCTACAATTGTAGCGATCAATGAGAGTAGTGACACAGGTACATCGTCGGCCGCCGACAAATCAATACGATTTCCACGCAAAACGATTTTCAGCAAACAAGACGCAATTAAAGAAAACGGCACAGCAATGTTGGAAAACGGAATTACCGTTGGCGTGTTGACCAATAACAACAGGACAACCACAATGTTGATGACGCCGAATTAAACGTAGTGTTCCTACTTAGCATTACCTGTCCAGAATGTCATAACCAGAAATGCTCATGAATGATATTAAAACCAGGTACCTACTTGTTTGTTAGTGGAGGCCATAGTAACCCTATTTCCATATACGACCGGGTCTCTCACTTAAATTTATTTCCTCTGTTAGATTAGAATATGTTAAGGAAATTTGCATTTCCCGCCGGTTTGAGGATGTGTATAAATGCACTTGAATTCCTAATTAACTCCATGCGGAGGAAATCAAAATCTAAAAAAATTAGGTATTAAAAATGAGAAACGCAAAAAGTAGGTGATAGTAGGTTCATGTAGTTGATCTAATTGAGGTTGTACATTTTTTGAATAAGGAATATTTCAAAATAATTAAAATCAATCATAATAATATTATACTACAGTAAACTTTTATCAACAATTCTCCGAAAAATATTTAAGAAAGTAAAATAAAAACAAATAATTTTTTACATTTTCAATTGTGTCAGACAAACACTTCTTTTCCTGAATATGCATTAAATCCTCGCTTTTGTGTGTATACAGCATATTTAATATTGTAAATAACATATTTAGAGATTATTTCCCTTGCACGTAGCAAGTTTATAAAACATATTTTTAACAAACAAAATTAAAATATATCTTATTATTGCGATTACTTGTTAACTGCGGCAATAACTTCTATTTCGACTTTGGCATCCTATAAAAATAAACATACAAAAAGATTAATCATCACATAATTTAACATCCCGAGTAACACGAATATGATTCGGTAATTTTGTTGACCTCCGAAAACTAAAAGAAAGAAGTCATATTAAGTGTTTTCACATAAATAGTGACAGATAAAAATAACGAACTATAATATTGATCACGTCAATGATATTTTAAAGTCAGTTTTGTTTAATACTTACTAAGGGCAATTTGGCCACTTGAAACATTGCTCTAGCCGGATATGGTGGCACAAAAACTGTTAAATAGAAAATAAAGAAGCAAATTATTGTTTTTAATCAGTACTTAGTGCAGTCTATTGTGAAATTCAAATGAGCCCGCATAATTACATTGCTTGTAAATCTCGTTCACCGTTGGGCCGTCTTTTATGTCAGCTAACAAAACCGTGGTCTTAACGACTGAAAATAATAAAAATATATACACTCTTAAAAATTATCCAAACATGTTATCACCAAAATAAAGGAGTACYTTTTAGTTTTATTACATAATCACAAGGATGACAATATCCAAGATAAATAATTCACCCTTTACATTTTAAACAAAATATTATTGTTTTTAAATGTTACTTACTATTATTTTTGTGTTATTGTACACCTAAGTGTATTGAATAATTTATAAATAAAATAAATTTTATTTGATACTGTTTTTTTTTTTTATTATTATTTTATTTTGAGTTTGTAAATCATACGTATGATATGAAATGAAGTATGGTGCTCATTATTAATATTGTTAAAGTAATTCGTCTTTTGAATTTTCATTACTTATTACATTATATATAATATATAATATAATTTGGTTATTCTACATATTATTATATTGTATAATATTGTTTGCATAGACAAATATTTCCCAACTGGTAGTCTGTGGACTCATCTATAGTGGTTTCCGATGCCAAAGAATTTTTTTCAATATTATGAAGAAAAATATAAGTGATATAGTGGGAGAAAGGTGATAATGAATAAATCAAAGTCCGTGATGGTGGACGATTTTAAAAAAGTGGTCTGTACCTACCTATTATTGAGTTGGGAACCACTGGCATAGACATTCAACCAAATAATAATAATTCGTTAAAAATTAGTACCTTTAAAAAAAAAAAATTAAATATCTAAATGTATTTATAAGCTTTTCAAATATGTATTGCAAATGAAGATATCATCTGGTACCTAATTACTTCCTAATGAATAGTCATAAAATCATAACTGGCCAAGTAGCTAGTCAAAAATACCATAACATTTGTGGAAATTCACCGAAAGCTGGTAAAACACACATAGGTAATAAAATATGTTACAAGATCTGTATGGCTTAAATATAATTTGTATATTTGTAAGTTATAAATTTATCAGATAATAACAAGACAAATAGATAAAAATTTTAATTTTAATTTTAATAAAAA